AATGTGAAATTTACAAAACGTTTACAGGAAGAAGAGCAGTGTTCTGGAACTGATAACATCACAAAGGGTTCACGTTCAGCCTCATTCACTACAAACTATTTTTGAACACTTCTTTTGTCGCTACAATCTGAGGTTTGCTTCAGTTGGAAACAAGAAAATCCAGAACTATTATCAAAAATAGACGTTTGCCTGTCATTGGAATAAAAATGTGGAATGATCTTAATGATCAACTTTAGTTAATTAATACATCATCAACATTTAAAACTACCTTAAAATGTAAAATAATTAATTTGTATACCTTTCCTTTAAAGTAATTAGAATAATAATAAAAACTATAACAAAGAAATTGAACAAAAATACATTGTTCTAGCAAATAAGCATTTTATGTTTAAAATCAGTAATATGTATTTTATTGTAGTACATAGTTTGTGTAAGCCCTCAGTCGTACAGGGATTAGTCAAAGCAAAGGAAGGTTTCTCACCCATCATCTGTACTTCTTAGCAAGTTTTCCCGACGATTCGTTCTCAATCCAAAGGACTTCTTCAGGGAATGAATTCTCAGACCGCGCGTTGGAGATTTATAACCTCTAATCCTGATACTAACTCATAAACAATCTAAGGTCTGTTTAATGTAGAAGGGAGCAGATCTAACGACCCTGCTGAGGCTAACGACCCTAACTCATTAGCATGTCACAGACCTTGTCCCAAGTTAGGGCGTTGTTTTTAGGATGTCGTCATAGATGCGAGGCAAAACAAATATTAACCCTCCTCCTCTGTTAAGAGAAGGTTTTTATTTTGTTTCCTCACAAAAATGGCTTCTTTCACCCCTGTATGTGATAAACTGTATGTGACGTGATGTCAGGGTGGACTCACATAAACAAGGTGCTTCAGCCCAATCCTTTTTTGGTCGTAAAATAAAAGTCAGAAATGTAATCAAACAATTGACCAAACATTCATTCATGTCATTTAGATTGTCCACAGTACACATGTCTTCTCAATACATTGGAAGAGTTTTGGTCTAGTCATAGTTTACAACAAGGACAAATATATGTACATAATAGAAATTTCAACAAACTGGATTCTTTTGCACATTCTTAAATAAAATCATTTTGACTTCTCTTTTCACACAGCTTTGTGAAAGTCAAGACTGACTCATGAGCTTTAAAAATGCCTTAGGCCTTAGGAAACAAGATATCACAAGTTTAACATTCCAAAGAGTATTCGATGAAAACAGGGGGAGTTCTTTATCATCAAATAGGCGGGAAAGGCGGTTAACGATTTAAGTAGCAGAATTTCGCAACTTAACACTGCCATCTACAGGACATATTTGGTAACAGCAATCTGGTATGTGTACTTGTGTATATGTATATGTGTGTGTGTATGTGTGTTCGTGTACGTGTATGTGAGCAACAGAAAGTTTCACAAGTACAGTGAACCTGGTGCATAAAACAAAAGACAAACTCAAATGTGAAAATAAGGAATGGGCATGGTGGTTCTTGGCAGAGCCCAGCGGGACAGGACCAAGAGACACAGCAGCACAGGAGAGAGTGAGCAGCTCTCAGGTCCCAGCTGAAAAGATCCACTGATGCGGGGCGTGGCATGGTGCGGGGGTGGACCTGCACAGAGGAGGAGACAGCAGAGAAGGCAGGCAAACCCAGACAGCACCCTCTCCTGGACACTAAGGGCCTGACTGTAACAGTGACCTTGGAATGTAAAATATGCTATACAAATAAACATTACACTTGTATTGCTTTTTATACCGCTGCAGAGCAAGAAGCACCACAGAGGGATGTAACAGTCTTCACACTAAACCAAGGACGACAAATGGAAAGCAGCATGGTCCTTCGTCGGGTGCAGCCATCTTTTTAATGTAACTGCACATTGTATAATAAATGAAATCTAAACTTATACTTAAACACACACTGTAAACCCTGGCAAGTAAAGTTTACTTGAAAAAACCTTGGAAATAAATTGCGTATTAACTTCACTTGAATTCCTCGAGTGCATCCTTTACTTGATATTACCAAGTAAACTTGAGTGATTGCAATAAAGTTTAAATTTCTACTTATGCTCCGACTGCGATTCGTACTCAGAATCCTGTAGTTAAGAGGCAATGGTGCTACCCACTCAGCCACCAGGACACCTTGCCATTGTCACACCTGCCTCATTAAAGACTCTACACATCAAAATGTCAAAAGTGAGGCTTACTTGAACGGAAACAGTTCAATTCAAAGAAAACCCTGAGTGACATAGGCAAGCTTTAAATAAACTAACAATAAATGAGTAATATCTACTTACTGGGAAAAATCTATTTAAAATAACTTTGATATCTGAAGTAGGATTGAAGTTAGGGTTTACAGTGATCTAAACAAACTGAAGAGGGCCTGATAAAAGTGTCCAAAGGGCCACAGCTGACCCATGGGCCGCGGTTTTCCCACCACTGGAGTAAAAGCCTTTGGTAACACTTTAGAACAGCTAATGAAGAGCTGATTTGTGTATAATTTAGGGTTAATTAATTGGTAATAACGAAGCACTTATTAGTCCTTATTGTACAACATCTAACTCTCTACTACTTGAGCTTAGGGCCAGGGCTTGATCAAATTAGAGTTGGGGTCAAGGGACACTAAATAGATCTTAATTAGCTGTTAATTCATGAGGACTAATCTAAAGTGTTACCAAGACGTTGCTAACGATTTCCCATAGTTCATCTGAGTTACGCCAAATGTATTTATTTAAAATTTTCCTTTATGGTTGTGAATTAAGACCTCACGCCGGTATGTTACCTCACAAAATTGAACTGGGTCAAAACTCCAATATATTTTTGTAAAAACCCCAATTACAAGATTATACCCTGAGTGTCTGGAGTTAATCATTTAAAAGAAATAAATATGAAAATAATAATTAAATAAAAAATAGTGATAACGTGTTTGTAGAAGCCAAAATCTACAGAATCTCCCTCTCGAGATGGAACCATTCTCTATACTTCCTGTTAAAAATATTCTTTAAAAAATTGCTTGCTAAGTGTAAAACTATTATTTATTATTTAGGAGTAATTAACATCAGAAAAAGTCACAATAAAAATGAAAAAACACTCTAAACCATTGATATAATTCTACGTATGCATGAATAAAGTTTTGTTATGTATTACAATGGAAATTCTTAACCATGTTTGCATCACAAGGCAAGTTTTTTTGGATAGCACAGTGCATACTTAGGGCAACGCAAAGTTCTGAACAAAACAAAATGGAAACAATCACAAAAAGGCGTTCAAATCATTAAAATTAGTAAAGTCAAAATCCGTTTTTAGTCTGGATTTTAACATTGTCAGAGTAGAAGTCTGTCTCACTTTTTCTGGAAGATTGCTCCAAATTTTAGCTGCATAAATCTGAAACGCTACCTCCTCATCAGGACGCCTCCCACAGTTTGAGAACCACTGAGTTATTCCATTGAGGTCAAAAGAGCGTTTTTCTCACAAACCCAGGGGTAATAGCTAAACTCGCTTTCGCTGCTCCAGGATTGTATAGGTTTGTTCCATGTGTTGAAACTGTTGAAACTGTTGAAAGCGGCGTAATTTCTGTTTCGTGTGCTTGAAGATACGGGATGAAAACTCTGCCAATACCTGAAACAGAAATGCATGAAGGATTTTAACCCTTTGTTGTTCACTCCTTGAAGAAAGAAAAATACGATTTTGTTTCTAAAATGTAGGAGGAGCACTAATAATAACAAAAATTAATCGTTTTTTGTTGTGTTTTTTTGAACCTCCAAGTTTTTCTTCATTATACACCTATATAAAATGGTTGACATGTAGTTTGATGGTAAAAATGCCTAAAACCAAGTGATAGAGATGCCCCAATGAGGTTCCAATGTTCTAGTAGATTAAGTGAAAACACCAAATGGTCGAGAAAACCATTAACAGGTTAAATTGAGAAAATTGTGAAAACGTACGAGATTGCAACAGAGCTCTCATCCGTCCACTTCCAGTCTCCCATTGATCTTCTCAGTCCGATCCAAAATTTAGAGCTGAATTTATTCAAAAACATCTGTAGAAATGTGATGGAAAGTCACTTTACATATGTGGCAATGTGGAGGCTGCTACGCGCTCCTTAAATAATATTAAAATATAAATGAGAAAGAAAAACCAGCAACGCCAGGGCAAAGTGCCCAAAATAAAATATAAAGCGCTCTAAGGCGCACAGGTTCGTAAATCATAATTGAGAGGCACAGACATTACGTTTACTTTGATTTATTATGTTCAGTTTAGTTCTCCTGATTCAACTAGGTTCTGTTTCATTTCACATTAATATTCACAAGCACACATCATCCTGTCACAAAGGACTCAGGAGTACAGGTGAACAACACCCAACAGAAACATAGAAGAACATGGAGAGAAACGAGAGACAACGGGAGAAACAGCGGTGGGCCGCGGTGTGGCCAGTCCTCAGCCTACGAATTAAAGTAGAGTTAAATTATCAGAACCAAAATGCCGTCAGTGTGTGCAGCTAAGACCTACATTTCCACAGCCAACACTGAGCGCGCACTCTTGACGAGTAGCGGTTTACAGGCCCAGACCAACAGCCGGCTACGACGCACTCGGACCCCAGCAATGAGGGCGGCCAGACACCAAAGCGACTGAACAGTGTGGCCGTGCACAAGGAGGACTCGCGGGGCACAATGCCACACCGCGGCACTACAGCAACAAGTCAACATTAGTGGCTGAATCTTACAATTATTAAAATTGACACTAAAACTACTACCTGGAGCAGGAGAAGGGCTGGCGCGACGACACACAAGCATGGACGTCGGAACTATTTTCTGAGAGGGGGGGCGGGTTTTTGTTGGGAGAGTCGAGGGAGAGACTCATACTTGGATTACACTGGATAATAACATACCATCTTAATTGTTAAGAAAAACAAAATAAACAATATATATCAAGCGAGTCACTTATCAAACTGAACTTTTTTTTTTTCAATACGCATTCATGCGTCAGTCTCTCCGGTGGCTTCATTGTGTTGTGTAGCCCAGTGACGTGCGGTCAGATGAGGCAGGCAAGGCCCTCACCTAAGATCATAGAAAGAAAAGTAATAAAATGGATACAATAATGTTTGGTCACTTTATCAAGTGATTTGTGCTGTGCCTTATTTCATTTATTTATACCTTGAAATCGCAGATTTGACAGAGCGGTGCTGTGAGGCGAGCCTCTCTTGGGAGACGTAAAAAGCAACAGCTCACAGGGAGAGTCCTGTGAGGTGCTATCAAACTGTTTTCTCTGTTTATCACAGTTTAAAAAGTCCAAAAATATTTAATTTACAATCAACATGTTTACATTTAAGAGGATGGCTCATAAATTGTGTTTTTGAAGCAAATATGGGTCTTAATCGCGCTCAACCACTGCTTGTAAGTGAGGAAAGCCTCAAGGGGGCGCTTGTGAGCCCAAACTTTGGCTGCATCCAATTCCATCAGAAAGCTCCTTTCTTGTTCTTCTTCTGCTAAGGGCAGCTACAGGTTTGGCTAACATACCTATAATACATTTTAAGATAATTTAAAATGCACTTAGAGTAATGTTTTGCTTCCAATGATGATATGAATCATAAGAAAAGGAGGTGAAGGGTAAGGTTGAATTTAGAAATTGGATTTACCCGGGAGTCGGCTGCAGCAAAACTCGCAGTTTACGGAGGAGACACCTGTTTTTTTTACTTTTTAAAACTCATTGAACTTATTTCCAAATGGAGGATTACATGTCTGTGCTCAAACTATTATCTGGACTTAAACATGAAACTGGTCCTAACTGAAGTGGTCTGTGCTGTTCATTAATACCTAAGGTAAGGCCCATAACACACTTTGTACTTTTTACAAACGTTTGCGTTTTGTATGAGAAAACAATGCAGACATTAAATCATATTCTGCTGTAGCCAAACAAATTGTGTATAAGCCGCTCCTGTTCCTGTAGGTCCTGTTGGTTTATATGATGTATAATCATATGAACACATGATTGATCCCCCACCGCACGTCACTGGTGTAGCCAGGTCTCTAATCTGCGCAAGGCTGAGAAAGAGCGCTCAGAGGCTGCGACAGATATTAGCCAGACAGAGCTTCATAAGCTTCTCCGACAGCATGGAGCGGGTTTTGGGCTGCAAGGAACGCAGGGTAGTGATAACTTCTCGCTCCCGGCACACGCGGAGGGGGTGCGGCCGCACCCCCCGCACCCCTAGTTCCGACGTCTATGCACACAAGAGACGGAAGTGCAGAGGTAAACAAAAGACGTAAATCTAGGCTATTTATACTGGGCGTAGGCGCCCTCTACTGGACAGAAATATGGTGGCCAAGTCCAGCTTGCCACACATATTTGAATGATAAAAAAAACTATGCATAAGAAAACAAAAACTCACCATTTCATCACGACCTTCAATCACAACCAGGTCTGCTCCTTGGTAGTAACATTGTCTCCTGGCGTTGCTCCAAGTGTACGATATTTGAGACAAATAATAACACTTGAAGCCAAACAGTCTCCATCCATCTGCACAGGACACGGCTGCAGTGGAGGCTGTGGGCACAAAACATAGTGATCCAGAGATACTTCACAAATTGAGAGAATCATAGAAAAGAAGCAAATATTTTACCAGAACATTGAGTGACACCTCTTGCACATTTGTTACGATCGTTCAATCATAACCAAAGATCTGGGATATAAACAGCTTTATTCTGTGGCTCAAATAATAGATTTTATTTTTTGCAAGTCAGTCACAAAAACGTAGTTAAAGCTCGAGGCTTGACTACACTCTTTTTATGTTGTACAAGTGCGACAGGCTTTATAAGATGAAGTTCCCCCTTTCGCCACAGGGGTCCGACATCCAGTACATTAATATATACAGTCTATGGTACATGCCAGTGACGTGCAGTCAGGGGAGGCAGCCTGCCATCATAGGAAACAAATAATTATTTTATTTGTAATATGTAATTGTTTTCCATTGTCCTATGATTTTAATGTATATTTGGCACTGTTCCGACCAGTTTTGATCAGTTCTGTAGTCAAAATCGTTGAAATCCTATTTTTCCTATTCAAAGACCGAAGGTGAGGCAGCGCTCCTGCCTCCCCCCAGACCGCTCGCTCCCACACAGTGATCTGTGTGAGTGCACTCAGCTCGTGCTGTTGATATATCGCTGTTTGTTTATAATATCCTGCTTTGATAACATTTGTCTAACTTCTCGTGGTGTTTAGTAATGTATTGCACGTATGTGTGTATTATTTGTATTTAGTTTAAGTCTTTTGATCGAAGAAAAATACACAAGGGAAAAGCTTGGCGTGAGGCAGGCAGTGTCTGTGCCTCACCGCTAGGGGTGATAGTGAGGATAAAGTTCAAACAATCAGCCCAATATGCTATTTCTTTTGCTGGAAAATGGATGATTTGATTGAAGATGTTTTTCTCAAATGGACTTTCAATCAAAGCAAGAAATAATATAGACTGAGAGACCACCGCTGGACTTACAAGGTTAGTCCGGCCGCGGGGGAGGAGTCTCAGTCTCTGTGTTTAATGTTGAAAATTGACTAGATAGCTGCATAATAGTGCTTCTCCGAAAACCACTGATTCAACCACTGCTCAACAGTTCTGCAACTCTTTCTCTCTCTCTCCTCCCGTCTCTGTCTCTCTCTCTCCTCCCGTCTCTGTCTCTCACTCTCTCCTCCCGTCTCTGTCTCTCTCTCTCTCCTCCCGTCTCTCTCTCTCTCCTCCCGTCTCTGTCTCTCTCTCTCTCCTCCCGTCTCTCTCTCTCTCCTCCCGTCTCTCTCTCTCTCTCTCTCCTCCCGTCTCTGTCTCTCTCTCCTCCCGTCTCTGTCTCTTTCTCTCCTCGCGTCTCTCGCACCTGCGCTTAAAGATGTTGTTTGATGCGGAGCAGAGAGTCAGCAGCTAGATTTGTTGTGAGATCTTTAAAAGAAGCTAGTCCTCTTATCTTTACAGTATAGGAAGTTTGTGGATGTTATTGCATTTGTGATTAAATGCTTTTTTATTTTAAAAATGTTGGTAAATCTGACTTTTAAAATCAGTGCCTCCCCTATCACAATCCTCACCGCACGTCACTGGTACATGCACATACCATTCAAACAAGTTTTTTAGTTTGGTTTAGTTTTTTCGTCTTAAAAAAATCTTTGCAACCGCACAATTAACACACACACACACATACAATCTTAGAGAAGCAGGAATAAATACGTTGTAAATAAGACAGTACAAAAATATACACCTAACAAAGAAATACAAATAGATGTAGAAAATGAAGGATTAAAAGTAAATAAAAGTATTAAAGAAGAGAGATAGAAAATAACAAAGTTAGCGTTCGAAAATACTCATTTTCTTATGACATTTCTCTTTTATATATGTTCCTAATATCAAATAAATTAGCAAACTGGAAAGACACCCTCATATCCTGGATCTATATGATTCGAATCACTTCCAATGTGCACATATCCTGAATATTCCGTCCAAATCCGTTGCTCACAGACAAACAAACAAACACAGGTTGAATCAAATAACAGGGCACAGTATTACATGAGGCTGTCCTTTGTCACCGCAGCAGGGGTCGGAGGGGGTCCTGTTCGGAGACCACAGGATTTCATCTCTGCTGTTTGCGGATGATGTCGTCCTGTTGGCTCCAACGAACCAGGACCTGCAGCATGCACTGGGACGGTTTGCAGCCGAGTGTGAAGCGGCCGGGGTCGAGAATCAGCACCTCCAAATCCGAGGCCATGGTGCTCGACCGGAAAAAGGTGCCTTGCCCTCTCCAGGTGGGTGGAGAGGTCCTTCCTCAAGTGGAGGAGTTCAAGTATCTCTTGTTCACGAGAGAGGGAAGGATGGAGCGTGAGATTGACAGGTGGATCGGTGCAGCGTGCGCAGTGATGCGGTCGCTGTATCGGACCGTTGTGGTGAAGAGGGAGCTGAGCCGAAAGGCAAAGCTCTCGATTTACCGGTCAATCTTCGTTCCCTCCCTCACCTATGGTCATGAGCTTTGATAACTGAAAGAACGAGATTGCGGATACAAGCGGTTGAAATGAGCTTCCTCCGCAGAGTGGCTGGGCGCTCCCTGATGAGGAGCTCAGTCACACGGGAGGAGCTCGGAGTAGAGCCGCTGCTCCTTCACGTTGAGAGAAACCAGTTGAGGTGGCTCGGCCATCTGTTCCGGATGCCTCCTTGACGCGTCCCTGGGGAGGTGTTCTGGGCACGTCCCACCGGGAGGAGGCCCCGGGGAAGACCCAGGACACGCTGGAGGGACTATGTCTCTCAGCTGGCCTGGGAACGCCGCCTTGGGATCCCCCCGGACGAGCTAGAGGAAGTGTGTGTGGATAGGGAAGTCTGGGCGTCTCTGCTTAGACTGCTGCCCCCGCGACCCGGCAACGGATGAAGAGGAAGAAAATGGAGTATTCTACATAATACAAACTGAAGTCTCACCCATTTTGTCCTTGGTCTGGTCCAGCTCTTTCATCACAGAGACGTAACTGGAGTTGATCTGGTCTCTCTCTTCCGTCAGGTTCCAGATGTGGATCTGCTGAGCATCTATCTGCAGAGTGGAGATCTGCAGAGCGTCTGTCTGCAGAGTGGACTTCAACCAGAGTCCCTTCAGCTCGACAAGCACTGCTCCATCTGCAACGACCCAGTGTGGAAAATAACGCATTTATTTAATTTTATATGTTTCAAGTCGTTTTTAGGTTCCAGATTCTTGGTCCGTGATGTCAGTCCTATACAATGTACTTGTTCAATATATTTGGATGTGTTCATTATTACCTCGATCTAGATACATGGATGAATAGATAGATAGATAGATACAGTAGATAGATATTACTAGATAGACTCTTTACAGTAATAAATCAGTTTACAATATCACAAATGTAATTGTTTTTAAGGTCTTACAATGAAGATTTTGTTTTATTGTTGCCTGTTTAGGATAACATGTGGTTTAACATTTGATCCCCTCAGTTTTACACCTGGCATCTTTGGAAATTCATAACCTTGAATTTATACTTTACCTATAACTGAGATTGCATAACGATCGTGTATATTTGGCCAATACAAAAACAATTGCTATATTTCATTGTCTCCTGTGGTGGTCAGGAGAACCTCAAAGTCTCACAATGGCTGGATTCTTCTATGGGCTATTTCTCATGTATTGTTCGGGGAGAAAGACCACACAATCACACAGAGTGGCTGTTTTTACACATTTTCAAAGTGACACAAAAATGCTATGAAACTCACATCTGGCCCCGACTCCCACGGCCGTCGAGAACAAAACGAAACTGACAATTGCCAGAAAAACTGTGGCCACTTTGAAATGTGCAGTTTCTGATGGGACCACAGCTGCAGCCTCAGCACAGTCTGTGAACACAAGAAGTGACCCATCTCTGTTAAGATAAGACAGGATAAGATAGACTTTATTGATCTCACACAGAACAAATGTACATGTCACATCTGGCATGGATAGAATCACTCAAGATTGTGCAAAAGAAAGAAATGTGCAAACATGTTAAATGCAGGATATATTATTTACAGTAAAAAGTGGCAATCAAAAAAACAGTGTCAATAAGTAGTGCAGGTTACATGTTCGATACTGACAACTATAGAATAATAGAATCAATATCCACTGATTCATAATCCAACATAGATTTAAAAAAATAATTGAGAGAAATAGAAATCTCTCCACTCGAATCACAGCCAACGACTCATGCACTGTATGTGTGAAAGTCTAACCCTGTGATTTTAGAGGAAATAAAATCAGACCTAGTCCAACATAGTCCTGGATTATCACCAATTTTCAGCACCAGGTTTGGATTTGGTGCCTGGATGTGAATTTAACAAACACATTATTGTCCTGTCATGTTTGACTTATCCACTGTCCATTAACTCAGTGACTGCCAGCCATTTTTGATTATTTCACTGATTTGAGACCCACAGAATATTGTGTGCAAGGACTATGTGAAATATGAAACCAGATTCTGAAAGATTGGACTGTCTACTTTCAGCAGCAAAAATAAGTTGGTTTCTAGCTAGTTTTGTTGTCCTGTAATCTCCAGTCGAATAGAGAGAGGTTTGACAGAAGATAAATACGTCAATGGCAGTCAATGAGTTAATGACTCCTATATGTTTTTGGACTGTTTGATTTTCTGATCTGTTGTTGAGGAATTGACAACGGCTATACAGAAATATAGTAGACGCACAAAAATTCCATGAAAAATGTCATGAAATTGTTTTGGATGCCTCCTGGACACCTCTTTGGGGATTATCCAGGGGTATCCAAACCTCAGTCTGCACGTTTCCCATTAAGTTTTCAATCGTCTGATACTTTTGGATGAATTATTATAAAGTAAACGTCCACAAACTCACCCGCGTCTTCTTGTCCATGTGTTTTTTCATGTGTTCGTTCTTTAATGACTTCCATATCCTCCATATTTACATAAATATCTTCATCCAAAGACATTGTAGCTTTTGTTTGATGGTGAATACTGACTCTTGTCTTTACACAAAACTGAAACTCAGACAGTGAAAGATTTCTGTTCCTAAAAACCAAAGATGTAACGAACGGCAAAAAAAAAAACTGAATTCGTACTTCCACATTGTGGTCAAGCTTGGACTTTTCTGTTTTATATTTCAAATACAGCTGTACATTCAGGGATCATCAACCTGTCATAAAAATGTAGTCTTTATAATACGGCTATAACCATTTAGAACATTTTCATCCCTAACTCATGAGTGCACAAAACTACCCATAAAGGTCTGACGTTTGCCCGAAAGGAGAACCTCAAAGTCTCAGCGGCTGAACCATTGGAGACTCCGATTTCTAAAGCTTAATTGTGTAGCACAGTTTATAGGTATTTGAATAATCCCAGTACATTAAAAAAGAGCAAAGTCCCTGTGCTCCTCAGAGTCCAAGCAGGAGGCCAGTCCCTGTGCTCCTCAGAGTCCCAGCAGGAGGTCAGTGCAGACACCTGGGAACAGGACAATTCAATTTGGAGAGACGAGAAACGAAAATGGTTTTGAGTATTTATTGAGGTGGTTTGGCGCCCTAGGCCCCGGTGCGGCCTTCAGATCGGAGAGGCTCCTGCGATGGAGCGCGTACAATCCCCCGGGACCTAGGCACTGGTGGCGGCAGATTGGAGGCAGATTGGAGGCAGATTGGAGGCAGATTGGAGGCAGATTGGAGGCAGGGTGAAGAGGAGGAGGAGGGGAGGCGGTGGTTGCGAGGCTTCGAGAAGGCCGAGAGTGGGAGTTGCTCCGCTTTTAAGCGGCTGCCTGTCCGGCACGGATGATTGGAAGGGGGCGTTTGCTGAGCGATAGGCTGGGGGAGCGAACCGGCCTGGAGGGGGTAGCTTTTGGCTGACGTCTACCAAATTGAATTTTCGCGAGCTACATTTCAATTTGGAGAGACGAGAAACGAAAATGGTTTTGAGTATTTATTGAGGTGGTTTGGCGCCCTAGGCCCCGGTGCGGCCTTCAGATCGGAGAGGCTCCTGCGATGGAGCGCGTACAATCCCCAAAAAGGCTGTGTGTGTTGATGGAGTTTTGCAGCCTGGTTTGCAGGGGACAGACGTCGTGACCGCTATCGCTATGCTGTGACCGCTATCGCTATGCTGTGACCGCTATCGCTATGCTGTGACCGCTATCGCTATGCTGTGACCGCTATCGCTATGCTGTGACCGCTATCTCTATGCTGTGAACCGTTTATGCGCTAACCATTTTTTGCTATGCTGTGACCGCTAACACTAACGCTATGACCGCTACCACTGACGCTATGACCGCTATCACTGACGCTATGACCGCTATCACTATGTGCTGTGACCGTTATATGCGGTTATCTTTGAGTGCCGGGACGTGAGCGCTCGCATCACGATCAACCAGACGCTGCGGCAGGGTGATCTTTGCGCGCTGGGAACGTGAGCGCTCGCATTACGTTCCGTCAGACGCTGCGGCAGCGGAGAGTGTTTGAGAGAAATGCGTGCCGCCACCAGAATCTTATTGGTTCACTTACTTTGTTTGAGATGAAGGTTGAAAGGGTCAGGGGACATAATGTTGGGTGAAAGAGAGCGACCTTTGTGTAAGCTTCCACTACGTCGAGATTATCACACATGACCGAGATCCTCTTTCTCCGCCACGTGTGATTCCGCAGCGCGCAGGCCACGACCACTGGGAATATCTCGTGTAGGGCAGAGGAGATGCTCCGGTGGAAAGTAGCGGCCACGGCCCGGCAGCCCGATGGTCCTGGAAAAAAACCCCCCAAAACCCACGGAAGGGGCAGCGTCCGTGTAGAAGCGGAGACCTGGAGGGGCAGAGACATGTCGGAGAGGGCCATTGATGTTGCAGGCGCCCTTACGCTTAGAATCTTGGGTTGGAGAGTAGGTAATCAGGACAGTAGGAAGGTCGGAAAAAGCAGTGTCTCAGACCGCACGAAGGTTGAGTGAGCAGTAGTAAAACGCTTATGCAGAGAAGCCATGGAAGGCGAGCAGGAAGATGCTGCGAGGAGGGCAGACATGTACCTGGAAGATGAGCCGGAGTTCAGTGCCGATGCAGGATGGGCAGCACGATGGGGGAGCCTGCGATCAGAAGAGTGAAGCATACAGGTATGGATGCCTTTGATTAGGAGTCCGATTGACGGCTCAGCGCAGCTACTCGGCCGGCTGCATCTGATAGAATCAGAAGATTAAGTAGAGAGATGAAGCATGACCGCCGAAGCGACCCTGGGAGCACAGGTGCGAGTCCAGCGCAGCGCGGCATACTCTGCCGGGCTGCGTCCATTAGAAGCAGGATGAGCTTCTGAGAGAGTGGGTTGCAGCAGTAGCAGTAGCAGCAGCAGCAGCGGCAGCGGCAGTAACCTCAGATAATAACGGCAACGACCTGTATCAGCCGCGGCAGCAGCAGCTGCAGCATCCGTAGATAATAACGGCAAAAACCCTGTATCAAAGCCACGGCGGTAGAATATGTTGTAGCTGTTTAGTGTTTCAGTAAGAGAAGCGAAGTGAAGAGAGATGACGAAGTACATGAAGCAGCAGCAGCACGGCAGTAGTAGCAGTATGAAGCAGCAGCGGCAGCAGTAGCAGAAGCAGCGTCAGCGGGAGCAGCAGCACCACGAAGCGATTCATACGAACAGAGACAGGTGCAGCCTGGGAGCCTGCGGAACGGCAGCGGCACATGTAGTAGTAGGGGCAGCAGGAACAGGCAGCAGGGACAGACGGCAGCAGGAGCGGCAGCAGGAACAGGCAGCAGCAGGAGCGGCAGCAGGAGCGGCGGCAGGAACGGCGGCGGCGGGATCGGCATCAGTAGGAACGGCAGCGGGGACCGGCAGCAGCGGCGGTCAGAGAACCATGCCCACGGTTGTTTAACAGCCTGAGGAAATAAATCAACCCGAATCCGAAACATTCCCATGCGAATAACAGACGTCCCCTGGAGCCATCTTCTGCTTTGGTTATGGCAGATGCGCATGAACGATCACTGATCCATGCGTTCATAGCTCCAACACTACTTCCACCCATTGCAGATTCACGTTCGGCCCTTTTTCTTCCTGCTGCACTTTCAAAATGCAACACTGCAGTTAGTTACCTAATTTAATACCAGCGACCTAGCTATTTATGCATGGTTTTACTGCAAGTGGCAGAACATGATCTGAATTAATGCACATAGCTCCTCGTATATCCCTCAGACGATAGAGATTGATGCCATTTAATATGCATTGCCCCTCAGTTAGCTCAGACACGTGTGAAAACGGAGCCTGCAGACCAAGCTCGGGGCGAAAAAACTGGCGCCTGCAGTCAAGTGCGTAGGGCAAAAACCAGCCGCCTGCAGCCCAGAACTCCGGGATTAATCTGTCCGCGGTCGGCACACTCACTGTACTCACATGCCAGGAGACTTGGGAAAGCAACGGGACAACGCGGCACCGCCAATCGAGGCAGGGACACGCACAGCACCGCCAGACCTCTGCGTGCGGCAGCAGACCACAAGGAACGAGCCGCACAGAAACCCGCGGAGGGCCCCGCGGAGCAGCCCGCAGAAAGAGCCCGCAGAGGAGGAGAGCAGTGGGGATATGCGAACCACAGCAGTGCAGGGACGTGGAAGAGGAGCAGACCAGTGCAGGGACGTGGAGGAGGAGCAGGCCAGTGCAGGGACGCGGAGGAGGAGCAGGCCAGTGCAGGGACGCGGAGGAGGAGCAGGCCAGTGCAGGGACGCGGAGGAGGAGCAGGCCAGTGCAGGGACGCGGAGGAGGAGCAGGCCAGTGCAGGGACGCGGAGGAGGAGCAGGCCAGTGCAGGGACGCGGAGGAGGAGCAGACCACAAGCAGCCAGACGGAGGGTCGCGCCGAGTAGCGTGAGTAGACGAAAACGATTCCTCCAGACGATTCTCTGCAAGGCTTCAGGAGCATGCGAGGCTTCGAGAAGGCCGAGAGTGGGAGTTGCTCCGCTTTTAAGCGGCTGCCTGTCCGGCACGGATGATTGGAAGGGGGCGTTTGCTGAGCGATAGGCTGGGGGAGCGAACCGGCCTGGAGGGGGTAGCTTTTGGCTGACGTCTACCAAATTGAATTTTCGCGAGCTACATATGTAATTGTATTTCCTGGTTCCAGTCCATTAACAAATGGAATCTTTAAAGACATCTGTGTAGCTTTTTTAAATAGTGTAAAAATAAATATACACACAAGTAGGTCGGATTAGAACAGCTGCTCTTATAAATGATTTAATCTTTAATTCAGACACACAAAAGGTTCATATAAATGGTTCTTATACATACGTAATGATCTTATTATGAAGCATTTACACCTAGTTAAGAACTTAAGAAGGGTTCACAGCTACTTATCCCTTATCCTTTTTTTTTTTTTTTGAAAGATGCGCTGGGTAATGGCTGCAAGTCCTTAGTAGCTCTGATTAACAGTTGTTGTTTTGTGCTTTACAATTTTTATTAGGCCCGAGCCCCAACTGGGGTAAGGGCCTATTGCTTTTACCAAGCCCGACGGCGCGTGCCCAGACACCGATAAAACAGTGCCGGAGGCACTGAATGGCTTTGCTCCTGCTGTAGTATACAGTGTAATGAATGGGGTCCTATGGGGGGGGTGGGTGACCTCATGATGTCGAGGTGATTGACGAGTGCGTAAGAGCTCGTCAATCACCAAGAACCCAATAGTTGCGTTCGCCTCGTCGTTCGCTTTAAAACGACGTATCATTTGTATTATAGGTTACTATGGAAACCTATATTGTTTTTGCTCAAAGATTTTCAGAAAAAATTCCTTGGTTTATTTCTTTCTTTTTTCTTCTGCACTTTGAGCCTTAATTTGACTCCCTGAACATTGATGAAAAGTTGTGAAATTTTGCCCAAAATTCAGAACCGGCAAAAAATAATTTTTTTGGGTGTTTATTTTCATGGGACTAAAAAAATGCCAGAACAGCGCCCCTACAAAAGTCAGTTTTCATTGCGCCTATGGGAGAGGGTCGGAGCTCAAGTTTGTCGTAGAGCCAAGGAAATTCGGTACACATGTTCCTCAAGTCAAGACATGAAAGACATGCGCGGTGCGGCGAGGGCCGTTCGACGCCGCTTGCGGCTTTAATTTTTCTTGCTTTTTTCTACCTGAGATGTTGCTGCAGTACAGTGTGCAGAGTTTTGCACTGGTCCAGACCGGAGCGGAGAGGATTCATGGTCCAAACCAAGCGGATCAGGTGAAAATCCACTGGAGGAAAGCTAACTTTTTGAAAAATGCGAATGAAGCATTTCGCATTTTACTTTGGACTAGAGCGGAGAAAATGGTCCAAACCAAGCAGCTACTCCACCTTTTGAGCCGTCCTGCTCCACCCAGAGGCTACTCCACCTCTGCTGCTCTGACCCATCCTGCTCCACCGAGAGGCTACACCACCTACGCTGCTCTGACCCGTCCTGCTCCACCCAGAGGCTACTCCACCTCTGCTGCTCTGACCCGTCCTGCTCCACCCAGAGGCTACTCCATCTCTGCTGCTGTGACCTGAAGGGCTGTGGCTGATTATTACTGTTGTTATCTTTTATTAGAATGATCAATTTTCTTTATTATTTTACTGCTGGACACCTGAATTTCTCCTTTGGGGATCAATAAAGTATCTATCTATCTATCTATATTCAGTGTGCTCCTCGGGTCCTCTTATTACTGTCCTGTATGTGCGGGGCAACACTGAAATTTCCCAACCCACCAAATGAAGGTTCTCTGATCTTATCTCATGTTTCCTTCCTGCTGCTGTGTCCCTGACATTTACGCATCTGTGCAATAATAATAATTTGGAATAATGTGCAATATAGAACCACATTTTGACTTGCTGAAGTTAGAGATGTTTTACTTGCTTTAGAATGTATTTTATTATAGAATAGAGTTATTGTTTCCTTGTCTTGTGCTGTGAGCTCCTCACTCCCACTGGTCTGTATGTGCCCTGCAACACTGAAATTTCCCCACTGCGGGTCGAATGAAGGTTCTCTTGCAGCGGTGGCCACATTGCGTGTGCACGTGGCGATACTGTGCGTGCTCGTCCCCGCGGAGCACGCTTGATGACGTCATTCGCGCGGCGCCTTGCTCGCTCCTGATGCGCCTCTTCCCCCAAACCCTAAAGATCCATGTTTCGCTTTCAGGTGAGTCCAGACCCGCTACGGCACGAGTGTGGTTTTAACCCGGGTTCTAGCGCCCTGTACGCGGCCACATGTGAGCCGTGAGCGCCCGGGGGCACCGCTGCTGTTCTTTGTTTACCCCCGGTTGAAGTGAGTCCAGCGTTGGCCTGTGTTGCACCACTTTTTTTCCTGGTGACATGATCTAGAGGGGGGCAGATCTGCGGGAGAGGGCAAGCTCCACAAACTGGCGCCAGAAAGCTTTACACGTGACAAATATATATTGTTTTTGATGTGGATTTATCCTGCAGTCTGCCGCAGTCGCTCCGTGTCTGGCCGCGGCTGCACGTCTGATGTGATGTAACAGTGTTAGCATTTTGGCTAACGAGAGATGCTACAAGACATCTCCAAATATGATGATAATACTCCAGAAACATTGATTTGATCTTGTAATGCATGTTATTTGGGTGAAGAGATCAGGCCACGGACTCTCTCAGTGCAGTTTAAACACGGATTGTATTTAATGAAGAGAAATGATTTACTGTCCTTCAAACACATGCATATTTTTACTACTACTTTTAAGCTACGAGAGAGTGTTGAAAGACAAGAAACATGCATTGAACCACATTTCTACACACTAGAGACAAAACATTATTTACATACGTAAAATAAATACATGCTGTTGCGTTATTTACTTGTTATTGTCCATAGTTTAGCTTAGTGCCAACATGTGTTTTTGCTTATCAAATACGTTGTTGTTTATTGCTACTATGGATGCAGGATCAAAGGCTTGGAATGTTCTTGAAAACCTTTGGTCTTTGTCATATTATGAAAAAATGTGTAGTTTTGTGTACACACGTGGGAACTTACAAGCCAGAGGGATCTAAACATCGTCATTTTTGGAATCTCAGTTAAACAAATCAACATTACAGTCTTAAAAAATGCATACAATCAGGTGTACTTTTTAAATGGATAGGCATCGATGTAGACCATGGCTGTAACACATTAATTGATTCATTGCAACTAATAGATTATTGAAATGATTGTCGACTAAATTATTTTTGTATAAGACTGATTTTAGCTCCCAACAAGGCACAATGAAGTATACCTAACAGAGCTGTAACTACTGCAGAAAAAAAAAACCACAATCATTCTTGTTATAACTCGTCTGTAAGATCAGAGAAACTTTATAAGTCCCACAGTGGGGAAATGTCAGTGTTGCAGCGTACATACAAAACAGTAAGAACACACAAGGAGCACACAATAAGCATAAGGAAATTATCCATAATTTTGGCATAAGCGACCTAAGCATAGGCCTGTAATACACTGAGAAGCAAATTAAAAAGATGAAGTGACAAGTACTGTATTGCACATTCTAAACTGCAGTATTTACTACTTACAGCTGAGATAAAGATGTCCTTAAACCGCATCATTTTAGCTTTGTTTTTGTTGAATCTATATGAAAACAATTTGCCGGCCTTTGCTTGTGCCTCACAGCAAGAAGGCCTTGGGTTCACATTCCCAAGATTCTTCTCTTGTGTGGCGTTTGCATGTTCTCCCTGTGTCTTGCTTAGGTTTCCTCCAGTTTCCCCTATACCTCCAGAAAATATCTAGAATAGCTCTGTAATAATAAGCGATTGAACAGTCATCACTGTGTGGAGTGAATGAAAAGGATTTGTACAAATACTTACTATCTATTACTCAAAATGAGATAGCGGCCAACTAATCTATCATCAAAATAATCCAGGACATAAGAGAGAAAGCACAGAATCTGAAGCTGGAGTTTGAGCAGTGACTAATCTGCTTTTCACATGTTCTTATGAGATCTTAAACAAACTTATGAAATCCTATGTATTTGTATCTTTTCCCTGCACCATGTTCCCACTAACTCTTAAGTTGGTAATCACAGCAGAGGGCTTGTCTTTGCCCCAGTCACAGCCCCAGTGATGGAGGCTCGTAGAATCCAAATCATATGATCCATTGCCCACTGTTCTTTGTTTTATAACTCGATATGCTTTTGTACTGGAACTTATTTATGGGATTTCAGCCGTTTATCTTGTTCTGAATGTTTTGTCCTTTCATAAGTTTTTTCCCTGCTGTGGGAGCAGTAAGGGTTCTCCTCTCGTCTCTTCTCTTAGTTGTCTGTCTCTTAATCAATGTGAAGAAGAAGAAGAAGTATATATCTATAAACAAGTACCACCTCAGATAGAAAATGATGACGTTTAATTTGATTTCTCTGTCTACTCTTTCTACTTCCATTTACTTTTCACAAAACATTCACATCTGATGCAGACCCAAAGAACGACACCTGGACTCAGACTGGACTAAAAACTAATGTCACATGTATTATTATTATTATTATTTGTATAAATGAAATACTCCTTGTTGTGTCTAGTCCCTGGATGATGACTGTACGCTGGAGGAGGAGGATGATGGACAGGTAGAGGAGGAAGATGAGATCGATCAGTTCAACGACGACACGTTTGGAGCAGGGGCCATCGGTGAGTGAACTTATAAATGTGGGAATTATTTTGCTGTTAATACCAATTATTCCATGTTTAGTGAATGTTGATGTATTTATTTATGCCTATTTAAATGCCAAGTTAAAGCCAGGGGGCCTAGCTGTTTTTTCATAAATAAGGTATATACAGAATGTCATACCTGTAAAATAATAATACGGTTTTGTGCTAAGAGCTGAGTGAGGGTGGTCCTTTCTTTTTCACTGTTGTGTCAAAAAAGATGTGACAGTGGCCAAAAATACATGAATGTGAGAAGTCATGATAATAACTGTTTTGAGCGTGTTGGATGTAAATTAGATTAGATTCAACGTTATTGTCAGAACAACCATTTCATTAAAGTGCTTCTAATATCTGAATATAGTTCTGACTGAAGCAATATCAAAGACTGCCATTGTCAAACATCCCTCTTTTCGACTGGCAATTACAGGAGAACAAAACTAACTAGAAACAAAGTTCTTTTTGCTGATGAAAGTAGACTGTCCTGTCTTTCAGAATCTGGTTTTATATTTCGTACAGTCATGGCACACAATATTCTGTGGGTCTTGAAAATCAGTGAATTTATCAAAAACGGCTGGCAGCCAATGAGTTAATGACATTAAATCTAGTTACAAGATATATTCAGTGACAAACCCAAAATAAACCATTTATATGCACACAAAGACAAGAGTAGAGAGAGAGAGAGAGAGAGAGGGAGGCCTTCAGCTGGAGATCCACAGACTTGTATGTGTACCTGATGAGCTGATATCATTGAAAGAACCAGTCTTGATTGGTCCATTTACAGTCAAGCTTGCAGCCATAAATACTACCAATGATAATTCTTCTGCACAGTCAGCATAAAACAATAAAAACAGTCAAAAACTGTCATATTATACAGTATCCAAAAGAAATACAGGAGAATGGAGTGGACAAACGGCACACAAAGACAAAACAAAGAAGATGTGGAAAAGTAAAATGGGGCAAGTGATGACAAAGGAAGACCCCCCCAGGAGAACCGACTGTAACAGGAGCCTCCCAGAGATAATGCAACCAACAGAGAGGAACTGTTGGATTGATTGCATTACATAGTTACTTTTTCTATGGTTTTCAAAGTCACCCAGGTTTAAAGTCTAATAGTTATTGAAATTCCTGTCCAGAAACTAAAGTTTAAATCTTTCTGATGTTCCGGGAAACTAAAACTTGAATGCATTAATGCTGGATCATTTTACCAACTTTATTGAATCAAACAAAACAACCGTTATCCCTGCATTTAAAATTAGAATTGATTTGATCCTTTGTTTATCTCACAGTGTGTAAATTCCAGTGTTGCATCACCGGTTAAAGAACAGTAGATAAATTAACAATAACTCTTTACTAAAATAAAATCTCTAGCTTTAGCAGAATAATAATTTGCTGACTACAACCACTAAAATTGCAACTTAAATTTGATTGTGACTGATCAGTTAAAGAAGCAGCTTTACACATTGATGCTAATGATTCAAAGACATGTATTGTATCGTGCTGAAGTAAAATAAACAGTATTAATGGTAACTTGTGGTGGGTTGTTCTCTGCAGAAGATGACGGCTGGCAGGAGGAGCACAAGCGGCTGGCGGGGCTGGATGAGGAGCCTGGACCTGGACTCCCGGCACTGGGGGGAAACGGACCAGCTCCCCCAGCCTCCTCCCTCAACTTCACGTCTTCCACTGGTTTTAGTCGCTCAGGTCAGTGATGGCTCAAGGCAGTTGTTTTTGGTTGATACTACTTTTGAAGGATTAGTATATGTTTGCGCTTGTAGGTTTATGTACCAATGAGGCTATCACATAGGGGAGAGGTGTAGAGAGAGAGAGTGAGCAAGAGAGGAGAGAGAGAGAGCGAGAAGTAGAGAGACCCTCAGAGAGGGAGACACCAATTAAGAATCTGCTTTTTCAATTATTCAGTTGATAATATTAAAGCATTAGTTTTATACCTGCCTGGCCGTACCACACCATAGTACAAATTACATTTCGTACTAAGGTCTGGAGGTGATCCATTGAGCTCCTTGAACAGGTGTTCTTCGCCATAGTCAAACTACAACCGATGTAAACTCATTAACGTCACCCACATCTGTAGGGCGGCTGCGGCTGTAAAGTGCCAAACTGCCATTGTGTCCTTAGGCAAGACACTTCACCCCCATTGCCTCGAATGAGTCTGGTGTTTGTGAATGGTTGGTGGTGGTCGGAGTGAAATGATAATGACATGTGAAGTGTCTTTGAGTGTCCAAAAAAGTGCTATATAAAACTGATTATTTATTATTATTATTACATCTAACTACAACACCCACCTGATTGGTCGGATTGAATTCAACTGATGTAATCGCAAACACAGGGACCAGACCCAGATGTTACATGCAGTAAATGATCATTGACCGGAGTGCACGGATGGATAAGGCCAGGCTAGTTCTATACAGCACTTTTTGGACACTCAAAGACGTTTCACATATCATTGTGCCTTGTTTAAAGGAGCAATATGTAATATTTGCATGTCAAGTCATCATTAAATGACCCGAATATTTCAAAAGGCGTTATTAAATCATACTCTTTTCGAATTCATCTTTAACTGATAACAGTAGTTCAGCCGAGATATTTGATTATCAAAATTAGTTTTACGACCCGTAAAAGTTGTTATTGTTTTGATTTTGATGTCCTACCCTCCGCCGTTTCGCCAATCAGGAAGTGTCATGTACGTCCGTGATCGGGTTGCCAGAACTCCGCGCGGCTCATTAATCTCAGTGGTAAAATAACATGTGGCGCAGAACTAAAAAAGGTCTTGTTATGACTCTCAAATCATTAATGACAAAACAAAGACTAAAACGAGGATTTATATCGGGATGCCTTTGAACGAATTTTCTAGTTTTAGTCCGTTCTTCACAGTGTCCCTACTTGTGTGTATCGGTGGCCTAGTGGTCTAAGCTGAGCGCTTACGATGCAGGAACCCGGGTTCGATCCCGGGCTATGTCTTTTTGTATTTATCGCATGTTATCACATTCTATGACAGATTGCTCTAAAACGGTAAAAGATGAAGGTCAAGACGTTTTGTTGCAGATTATAGCTTAATTGTAAAAATAATCATTTAAGACCACATGTACCCCAATTAAAATAATGTTAGTCTCTTTTTGATGTGGGACTTTTACATGTTTGTCTAAAAAATAGGGAATAAATAAAATTGAAAGGTCCTCTTGAGCAAACCCTGATGTTGATACGCTGAAGAAATACGTTCCAACATCCATTCTTCCCACTCCTATTTTGGACATCATTTGCTTATTTATTTTGCATAAACTATGTATAATTACATTGCTTTTATTTTGTTTTTGTTTTTTATCTCAAATGTCCAAATAATAATAATAAAAAAACATTAATCAAAACATTCATTCAGCATTAGCACGGCTGTCATGCCAATGTGAATGGAGACGGACAAACAACTGATAAAATAATTCCCTGTTTTTGCTGCTGGATTTGGTGTGAATCTGGCAACCTGAGTCAGGGAGAGTGGAAGAGGACTACAAAATATTGACTGTGACTGCAGTACCACTTTTGGCCAGATTTTTACATATTGCTCCTTTAAATCAGTGCTTCACAGCAAGGTCCTGGGTTTCTCCAGGTGCTCCGGTTTCCCCTACTACTAAAAACATGTGCAATAGGCATGAATTGGAGGGTTGGGAGGTTCAATGCTCCAGATGCTACGGCTGTGATCCCTGTGTGTGGAGTGAATGTAATAACAGTTTGTATTGTAAAGTGTTTTGTGTCCTTGGATTCTTTACCTGTGAAGCTAGTTCTGCTCTGGAGTACTTCTGGAATAGTTCTGTGTTGTTCTGCTCTGTACTAATGTCTTCTCCATCTTCCTTCTCAGATGCAGAGGAGAGAGCAGGAGGCGGAGGAGGAGAACTGGCCGAGTCGTTGGCGCGGCTCATCCTGGACGCAGACCCGGCCATCGCTGGCGTGGGAGCAGCCGAGAGACCACAGCTGCCTCTGTCCGGGCTCCAGGGTCTAGACCGGTCCAGAGTCCTGCCCTCACACATCCCAAACCAGCTCCCCTCCCACCCACACCTGCCCCCCGGACCCTCCACGTCTGGTGAGAGAACTCCTCTGACATCACTGTTAATTTTCTGTTCATGTTTTTATCTGAGTTTTAAATCCATTGGCCTCAACAAGCTAAAACAATGCCACTCGAGAACCTCTTCATACATAGTTGATTATAACATAGTTGGTTGTTCTATTCGTAAATACTTCTGAACATTCTTAGTCATTCTGTAGTAATTTTAGCTCTGTCAGAGTCAGAAAACTTGGTTCAAGGTGGTTCAAAACCTGAATTAGCTAAATGTCTTTCATGTCTCATCAGTTACTACGATACACAAGCTCTGGGGATCCAAGACACCGTCGGCTGTGCTCATTAGAGTTTTATATATTTCAGAAATGTTTCATAGAAAAGAAGACTGTAAACTTTTCTTTCTGTTGTTATTATTAGGCTATTATTTATATGCAATGTCACCCTTTTTCATTCTGGCCTTTGTCCAAGTCCAGGATTCAAAACTTATCACTACATTTATGGACATTGGTCGTCTGCCCCGTATGGACCAATGGCTCTATGTATTTATCCTTGTGTAGAAACCGCTTTGATTCTCTGATCTGTGTTGGCAAATTCAACAGTTTTGATAAGTCCTCAGAGATAACTACTGTTGTGATTTAAGGCTAGACAAAACTGATTCACCAACAACAGATTGGAGAATCAGTTCAAACATAGGAAATACCATAATAACAAACGGATGGATGCTATTGGTTCATATGAAGCGGGATGACCAATGTTCATAAATATTTGTAAATGTCCTCAAATGTCCCGGAACATCATTGCCCTTAGACTCACCTACGTCAGCAAATTTGTTCATATAGGACTTATTGAATACTTTGGCTCTCTAATATCACACTGTATCACAGGACTATTCACTTTTGAAACTGAACTTGGAAAGACGGTTTAAACATTTTGCATGCAATAAAGACTTTTTGCTACATTAGACGCTCTCATTTCTCTTTCCCTTTTTTAATGAACATGACATTGTGTATTTTAGGTCTCCCTCCTGGTCCAGCTTCACTACTTGGCTACCAACAACAACAGCAGCAACAGCAGCAGCAGCACCTGATGCGCAGAGGGACGTCTCCCATGGGACAGGTCTGACTCCAAATCTCTCTTACCTGATGTTTAAGAAGTCCAAGGTTTCCGCTAATATTTTGTTTTCTTTTTGGTGGATTCACTAGTTGTTTAGACTGACAAAACTTTGAGACTAAAACACTTTTTGACCTTGATTTGAGCCAGTCTAAACAAGTCTTTTTAAGTAGAGGTGCAGAGATCACATGTGACCGGTGACTCGCATAATGAACCAATCAGATCGTCCGATTTTAATCACTGATATTTTCACCTTTTTAAATTAGCACCAACAATGTCAATTCCCTTGTTCTTTATGTAGTTAAGCACAAACACACTCACCCACTCTCTCTTCTGTGTGTAAGCGTCACTGTGTGTTCCATTCCATCCATTTTCTTCCCCTTAATCCATTTCTGGGTAGGGGGGTGGCAGTCAGAGCTGCACCCAGTACACATAGCACCAGCCCTCACTGATCCTCCTGCAGGTGGTGAGTCCACGGGAGCTGAGATCTTTCAGTGGGGGCTTCAGGCAAAGTAGGGTTAAGTGTCTTGCCCAAGGACACAACGACAGCAGTCATCAGTGGGAGTCGTGAAGTAGGTCTTACGGTGGGCTCGAACCCACGACCTTCAGGCCCAAAGGCCAATGCTCTACCAACTGAGCTACTGTCGCCCCTCACTGTGTGTTATGCTTGGGAAATATGGACACAATAATTACAACAAAACGAAAGAAATATCACAATAACAGTAAAGTTTCTGAGATAAAAGAGCACTGGGAGAAACTTTCAAAACTGCACGAAAACGTAAAAAAAAAATACAAAATACGAACAATGTTCTAGATATGTAATAGTCAAAGCTCTCTCTCTAAAAAGTTTGATTCTAATACCACGAACGGTATTTTATCGCCCATCCCTTCTGTGTGTGTTTAAGTCACACAACTCTTCAAGTCCAGCCCATAATCACTGTTTGGCTTCACTTTTGCACATATTTCTCCTCTCAAATCATCACAGCATCATCCTTGTCTCTCCCTAAAGAGTAGCCCCGCCCATGTTTTGTGGTACCCATGGTCACCCATGTAGGAATTTAATCATACTGAGGTCAATAGAATACTTTTATGCAAAGTTTAAAAATAGATAATTAAAAAGTACAGAAATCTATGTTAAAAGGATTGACCCATTAAGGTATTCCATAACTTCTCATTTCAGTCCTGTGTTATACTATATATTTTTTATTTATTTTTTCAGATTAATTCTCATAGTATCTGGGAGAACAACATGGGCTTCGGACCAGTCAGCGTCACCCCGGGACTGCTTACTCACATGGAGGTAAGATTCAATTACATTTATTTTTGTATAGCCCTGAATCACAACAGCAGTCGTCTCGAAGGTCTTTACAAAGTCGTCGATTTGCCAGAAACGGATCAGTTTTGAACACAGGAATGCATTAATAACAAACACATAGGAGTCATTGGTCCACAGGGATTGGGATAACCTCCATTCATAAATATTAAAAATTGGGCCTGGAGCATCGCTGTCCTTAGACCTTCCTGAATTAGCAACGAACACTCAATAATCTAGTGGGGAAAATGAGAAACCTTGGGGAGGCTCATATTGAGAGAGGGATCCATTTCCACGGAAAGTCAGACTATAGATCCTGGACCCGGGCTGGAGTCACTATAGATCCTGGACCAAAGGACAGTCATAAATGTCTATGTACAAAATATCTGCTGTAAATGAGGTCCTTCGGCTGAAATAAAACTTTTAAATGATCATAGAAGTATCATAATCTTCAACGTTATGTTTGAATCACAAATAAGTCCTGATTGATAAAATATTTGTACTTTCTCCCACAGGACAGTCCTCTCATGTCCATCATCAAAGAGGTGGGTTTGCCCAAAAGACCTCAGAACCGCGACGAAGCCAGAGACCTGTCGGAGAGAGCCCCGCCCCCTCGCTCATCCTCACCTGTGATTGGCTCTCCCCCAGTGAGGGCGGTGCCAATCGGGACTCCGCCCAAACAACCAATGAGCCACAGCCTCAACCACCAGGTGAAATACTGCTACTACTACTTCTTTCCTCCAACTTTGTCATAAAATAAAGGTTGCTTTTTATATTCTTCGTGTTGGAAAATAGTTCTCATGAATTGATTGTGTGAGATTTTGACATGTATCTTTTTAAGCAGTTACGTCTCTTTTAGTGAAAGTATAAAATTGGGTTGGTTAGGTTTTCTATCAACTTTAAAATATATTTATTATACGTACCAATACCTTTTAGCCCAGCGTTGCCTTCCATCAGCAAAAACCTATTGTATATTATCCCCCATTGTAATCATTTTCATTGGAGCTTCCTCAATGAACCTCAAAATCTCAGAACTATGTAGAACCCGTTAGAATCCTGATCAAATCTGTGATGTGTCATTCATTCTTCTAACCTCTGTGAATATAGCAGTAGTTACTTTAGTCTTGACCTCTGTCTTTGTCTCTTTGTGTGTGTGTGTCTGTCTCTTGTGTTTGTGTGTGTGTGCATGTGTCTGTCTGTGTCTGTATCTCTGTCTCTGTGCTTGTGTGTGTGTCTCTGTCTGTTTATCTGTCTGTCTCTTGTCTTGTGTGTGTGTGTCTGTTTGTTTGTGTGTGTGTGTGTGTGTGCGTGTTGTTGTTGTGTATAGATCCACCACCCCACCGCGGTCCACGTCCGTGCCCCGGTGCCGCACAGATACCCCCCTCCTCCTTTCCCCGAGCGCCTCTCTCCAAACACCCTCCTCAACATAGCAGTAAGTCCACCTCTTCTTCTTCCCTTTCACACCATCAGAATGACATCCCAAATAACAGAGAAGCATTTACTATAGTTTTTGTCCGAATTATGACATAAACTACCTCTGTGAGACAACATGATATAATCTACTGAAACATGATATAATCTACTGAAAGCCACTAAAACTCCCTACGCTAACTCAGATTCTGGAATGTAGTGTTATTTAGCAGCCACAGTAACATTTCTCTTCCAGTTTCTCACTTAAACACTGTCTAATTTGACTTTCTATGATACCAAACGCTACTTAGTAAACCATAAAAGCACCCGTAGAGCACAGACCTCCACCAAGAGCTGTAGTTCCTCTGCTTTAAAACACAAAATCCTGGATCCAGACAGTGATCCGGATCAGCTCCAAAACAGTGTCCCATTTATGAGCTTTACTAAACTTATATTTACTACAAAATCTTTACTAAATGTTTGTTCAAATGTGGAAAAATTAAAATGTGAAAATATAAAAAAAAAGATGAAACTTTGCCATTAATGGAATTGAACAAAAATCTGCTCTTACGTTTTTTTTAGTTCTGTTAAATACAGACAAACAATCCGTGGTGATTACAGTACGCCCTGGTAGAGGTAAATATCTGCATGTGGACAGAACTGAGTACAGGCTCTTCAAATATAAATACTGCACTAATTTACAAAGAGTAATTTAGAACTATGTCTGGGCGTCGTACACACTTTTAGAATGATATAAATAGTATTTACAGAGTATTGCTGGAGTGAGGCTGGTTATTGTTTATTGTATATTTGTGTATTTTATGTGCGCTCACTGCCCGGGGATTACAGAGTGAAAGCAGTACTTAAATGTGATGCAAATCTCTGCTTTTGTAAAGACTAATGGTTTTGTATTTTATCCCAGTTCAACAAACAAACAAACACATAGTATCTAATTTACTGTTTTCACTCTACTAAAGTGAAAAAAATAAAACTGTGGCTTGTTTTTTAATGTATTATTTCTTGTTTTCAAATTAGTTTCTATTTGATTCTAGCTTTAGTACTTGATACTTATTATAGGATTGATATTGATAATTCTATAATTTATTTATAATGTCCAGTAAATGCGAGTGGAAAGACGGAATCATGAGGACTGGACTGAAGTAAAAAAAAAAAAAAAGCCGAGTTGTATGTGTATGTTTTCAGATTTCTATCTATAGTGTGTGTAAGAAACATATTTCTGGTCAAAGTTTGTTATGATTACATACTGCAGACTCAAAGTGCCCTTGAACACATTTTTATATATTTATTAATTTAACTTTATTTAACCAGGAGAACCTCATTGAGAGTGTTGTGCTTCCTGTTTTTAATTCTCGTGTTTTTGCAGAACTCTCCTTTGTGTCGAGGTCCGTTTCCTCCTGGAGTCTTGTCCCAGATCCAGAGGGCGCAGATGCTCAACTCTCAGGTCAGTCTCGTCCCTGTGCCTCAGTCACAAATCATGGCACGAATATTTATCCCAATTCTCACTTTTAAACAATATTATGTTACATTTATGATTATTTACCAGGGCTTCTGTCCCACCGAGAAAAGTAACAAATGTGTTTTACAGTGTAACCCTTGATCCTCATGTGATTGTTGTTGTTGTGTCTCAGGTGGCTGGTTTCCCCCGCGGCGGCCCTCCTCCCATGATGCCCGGCGGTGGCTTCAGGCCGTTCTTCGCCGGTCCTCCTCCTCCTCACGGACACAGGATGGGACCGCCCCCTCCTCACGGACCCATGAACATGCCTCCCCCCATGCGCCACAACACCACACACCTGCACCCACAGCACCGCCGGCTGCTCACCCAGCGCATGCAGAGCCGCGGCGGGTAAGAGCATTTATGTACAAAACGCCTCATCAAATCTGACAAAAATAAAGTTGAATTTCTTTCTTGGAATACAAACAAGTGGCTTTGCTAAGTTGTGGTCTTGTAGTTCTGGCCTTTATTGACTAATTGACTCTAATGACAAGTGGGAGCAATCTTGTAACTCCAAAGTCTGTCTTCATGTTCTTTGGTGAATATAAAGAAAGTGTTATAGTTGGAGTCTGGGGTTTGAGACTTGTAAGAAGTAAGTAAGTAAGTAAGTTTTTATTTATATACCGCCTTTTCACTGCAGATCTGAGTCTCAAAGCGGTTTACAATTGTTAATTTTGGGCATTTGTCTCTCACTCCACACAGAGATGGGAGCGGGGTCAGAAGTAAGTAAGAAGTAAGTATTAGGCAATTTTAAGGCCATATTTTATTTGTGAGTTTGGTTCAAATGGTCCTGAATCCTCGCAGAAGGAACCAGAAATAATATAGACACTTTGTTGTTTTGATTGTTTTACTTTTCCAGGAGTTTCATGTTCAATCGTATCAATTGGCTGACACAAGATATGGAGAAAAATCTGAAAAAATTGGGTGAAAATCAATATTGTATCCAACTTTTAAAAAATGTATACATCGACAAAACATTATATCTTTAGCTCCCCTCTACGGTACAATGAATGAAGTAAACGTTATGCTGTGTTTCAGGTGTCGGCCTGGACTGGACCGGCGCAGCAGAGACCCCTACAGTAACCTGATGACCATGAAGGAGAAGGAGTGGGTCACCAAGATCCAGATGATGCAGCTGCAGAGCACTGACCCCTATCTGGACGACTACTACTACCAGGTAACGCCTCTGCTCAGGTACTAGGAGCATCTGAAACTGGGAAAAGATGGGATACTTCAAAGGAAAACAGAACTGAATACATTTTAGATAAACGTATAGAAAACTTGTCAGTGCATATGCCAGGTCACAACATACTCTGGAGTCTTTGGACCAAAAAAATGTCCAGTGTAATTTTCAAAAGTCGCCAAGTTGGGCTTTTCTATAGAGCTGTAACAAGTTTATTTGCATTATCTATCCATCGTCTTCTGCTTTATCCGTGGCCTGGTTGTGGCAGCAATCTGAGCAAAGACACCAGCTCGACTGCCTTTTCCACCGCACTTTCTCCAGCTCCTTCTGAAAAGGTTTTATGACACACAGAGAATTTGTTTTTTGGTTAGTAATCTAAACAGCGACTGCACTTTCTGGGCTATATGTCGCTACGTTTTGCAATTGAGTTAGTTTAGTCTTGATTTGTTAGTCTTTGTGCACAACGACATTAAGCTCACGTAATACTGTCTGACATGTCCTGTGTTTTTTAATGTTTTTTATGCCCTGTTCTGCTCAAACGAATTGCCCCTAGTGGGATAAATAAAGTAGTCTCAATCTGAATCTGAATCTCAAAGACAGACATTTCCATCTGCTGGTTATCGATCCAAACTTGTATCGAACGTTGTTTTCTGTGGTCGTTCCAGAACTACTATGAAAAGATGGAGAAACGTCAGGAGAAGGAACGAGACAGCAGCAGCAAGAAGGAGCACACAACCAAACTCATCACACCCCAAGTGGCAAAAGTGGAGCACACGTACAGACCGGGTTAGTTCACTCACTGAGAAAAGTTGACTCAAAGGTATACAGGCGGACTTCCTAATTGTCAATCATTCTGGTGATACATACTCGTCAAAAACAAGACCAGAGAGTTTTGTTCAAAAAGTGGAGAGGGCGGTTCATTCCTAAAATTCGGGAAAATCCTCCTAATGTAACTTGAAACATATTAAGAGATAGGCTAGGATAAGATAAAACTTTAGTGATCTCACATTAGAGAAACAGCCGTTGCTCGGATGTGGTTCTGTAGTTTTGGTCTCTCATTACTCTAATGATAAGTGGGTTTGGAGTCTTGGAGCTATATGTGACATAAAGAAGGTGTTTAAAGCTGGTGGCTGGGGTTTCAGACCTGTAATACAAAATCAGTATTTATACATTTTTGGGCCCTATTATGTTTGTGAGGTCAGAGTTCAAATGGTCCTGGATCATCGCAGAAAGAACCACAAATAATATAGACACTTTTATGTTGGTTTTTCACTTTTCCATGAGTCTGATGTTTATATTTTATCAATTAGCTGAAAAGATATTTTAAAAAATGGGGGGAATTAAATATTGTTTGGTTTTTTATAATAACATTTGATAACATTTAATCTTCAATAAATCCAATAAAAATGCAGCAATAGTGTGTTTTTGCTCAGAAAGATCCCAGTCCTGGTTCAAACCGGTCTGTCCTCTGTCCTCAGTCCAGTTTGCAGGATCTTTGGGGAAACTCACAGTCTCCAGCGTCAACAACCCTCGAAAGATGATCGACGCCGTGGTAACGACCCGTTCTGATGACGAGGTTTGTGTTTTTCCTCTTTTTTTTTTTAAATAATAAAAACATTGCTTCTCAGAGAAACCCACAACAATAACCATTACTTTGAGAGCAAAATAACCCCAGGAATTAGTGTAAAAATAATGTCAAATATATGAAACGTCATCAGACCTGTAAGAGTGCATATTACTGTCCCTTTAAGATCCTTTGTTTTAAGCTGTGTACATTTATATTTAATTTGATGTTTTATTTCTTGTGTTTTTGCAGGAAAAGCGAGAGAAGCAGGTTTGGAACAAGAGGCGACAGATCCTCTACACAGTGGAGAAGGTAAAACCAAACCTGCTTCTTAGTGGTCATTAAAGTGGTCATTAAAGCGCGACAATGATGAAAAAATATCTATTGGCATTTTTCTGACATTTGACATTTCTGTTATAATTGAATACTGCTTCTCAAACATATTTCCAACACTTCCAGAAGCATAACTTATATTTTTATTCATCTTTATTAAGGACACGATATAATGCGGCCCATACGTAACAGAAAAGATGCCGTATATTGCACATGAATCATCTGATAAATGTTTTTCTTTAACAGATGTACAGTTTGCTGCTGGAGGTGCAGGACTTTGAGAAGCGGTTTCTGTTGACGCCCGACGAGGAAAGAGAAGCGCTGATCGAACAACACAAAACCAACACAGTTCAGCTCTGCAACTGTCTGCGGGAGAAAGAGTGGGACGACAAGTGAGCTCAAACTACTGCTTTCAACTGTACACATGGTTTTGCTGCGTCTGTCTGTGCCAACTTAATGTCAATGTATTTCTATCAATCTATAACACATTCTCTGCTGTCCCAGACTGGGGATATTTTGATGTGTTCTGTCTGAAAAAAGGTTTTACGGGATTTTAGCAAAACTATTTATTTAACGTGTGACATTTCTCCTCCCGGCCTGCAGGGTGAGCGACGAGCAGTTGGTGATGATCATGTCGGTGCGAAAGGGGAAGCGACTGATCTCCAGACTCCTCCCCCTCCTGCCCGGTGTCCTGGCAACCGCCGTTCTCATGGCGATGGCCCGAAACCTACCGACTCTCGCCAAAAAGGACAAACCGGACCAGGTGAGGACAAGCAACACGCAGCAGAATAAATGACAGTTTGGTAATTTAGTTATGAATCAACTTTGAGAGCCATGTTTTTATGCAACAACACAGTACAGCCTCAGTCCTCGTTCTACAGTCTGAGTCCTGGGTCTACAGCATGTTCTTCAGTGGGAGTAGATCTGCCTTTCTCTACTTTTTCCCCACTGGATTTTTTTAGTCGTTCCTTACCAATTCAGGAGGATCTAAGGACCAGCGTATGATCCAGGACTTTTTTAGACCTTGCTCATCCTGCTCCCTGTGGACTAATGGCTCCTATGTGTTTGTTGTTATTGCATTTCTATGTTTGATTCTCTGCTCTGACGTTACGAAATCAACAACTTTGTAAAGTCCCCCGAGACGACTTCTGTTGTGATTTGGGGCAATACAAAAATAAATGTATTGATGATAAGGTCCCTTCCCTTCAGCAGTAGCGCCCTTCAGTGACAGACTTATCCACCCTCGCTGTGTGGAGAGGTTCCCCAGTTCTTTCCTTCCTGCTGCTGTCAGACTGTACAATGAGAACCGCCGTGTCTATACATGTCATATCTTCATTATTCAGTAAATTCAGCAATTTCAGAACGTACAACTGATTGTCACTTTATCTACGCATTTTCCTGCCCTATATGTCTATAGTTTAGATAGATATATATTTATCATTCTCTTGCTGCAAAATTTCCTCACAGTGAGACAAATAAAAGTTCTCTTACAGTAGACACACACAGTTATTTTCTTTTGTCTTGTCTGTCTGTTTGTTTCAAATTGGACCTATCTGTATTAGTTGAATTGAGTGAAGAGATACGCCCCTTTACAACTTGTAATCTAACTATAGAGCTGGAAAAGCGTGTGTAGAATCGTGTTGTAACTATCTCAATAAAATCTCACAGGACTTGGATTATGATTAGTTTTCGGTACGTGTATATTACTGCTCCTCACGCTGTCTTAAACTCGGTTCTGTCCCTGCTGCAGGTGCTGTGCTGGTTAGTGGAACCGGTCTCTGCTGTGGTCCAGTCCATGTCCAGCTCGGCGCTCACGGATCTGCTACAGGAGCTCCAGACCCCCGAGGGCCAGCTAGCATCAGTGCTACACAACAAGGTACAGGCCCAGGACTGGAATATTTCTATGTACTGTTGTTGTAGCTAGGGTTGTGGGTTTGACTCTTCAGGCGCCAGAAGTTTTTCAGCAATTCTATGTGAAACGGAAAAAGATATTATATACTTGAGATTTGATACTTGCTTCTTTATTATGTGATCTCTGACTGTTACAAGGTCTATGTATAAGATGGAGAACTGCTACAATTAATGCCAGAAATAAATAAAAGTAAAATATGTCAGAAATAGGTTTGTGGGAAGCCAACTCTCTATATGGAAGGTATTGTACTATTTTGGTGCCGAAAGAGTTAGGGCCACTTTTCACTATTAAAAGAAGGTATTAGAGCTATAGCTTGAGTTATCAGTAGATCTGATTGTAGTCTTAAAATAGTTATTATATCTCTGTTATAACGTATTCACCTTTTTTAACCATCAAACTTCAAATACACATATTTTCCTCTATTTCCAAAATTATTTCCGCAAATAAGTGCGTTAGCCAGCTTCATATTGTCTTCATAAATTAGTTCACATGTATTCTGTGGGAGGTGACTTTCTGATGCTGTGACATAGAAACTTCATTTTGGTCCTCTCTGTGCAGTTTGGAGTGACGCTGCTGTATCTGATCCTGAGCGAAGGGGAGCGGATGCAGAGCTCGGACCCCAACTGTCAGCTCATGGACGACAATCGATGGTAAAACTTGAAGCTATTTTAATCTATGTGTTCAGGAGAAGGAGGGACGAATTAATAATCACTCAAAGAAAACAGGGAAGGCTAAAAAAAAAACCTGGATTCTGTTTTGAGTTGCTCTCAAACCTGTCGTACTACTGTTTTCTAGTCTGCAAGTGGGGGGCTTTATCCAATTGAGCAGAAGGGGCTTTCAAAGGCATCTCATGTTATTATTATTATCATATTATTATGACGTGCTGGAAATGTTGCTGTTTGATCAAAACATGTACAGTTGTGGATGATTTCAGTGCTTAAACTGGTTTGTGTATATGTTTCCAATGTAAAAGGATAGTGTAAAACTGTATAGATATCCAGAGAAAACATTTAGATGAATCCAAGCCCAAAGCAGGCTGCCACCAGGAGAGATGACTGAAAATGAACCCTAACTGATGATAAGCTTTGATTCAACTTTATTGTCATTACAAAGTCAGAACAAGGCAATTGGACGCAGTTTAACATCCAACCATTAGTGAAATGGTATAGTATAGGATGATAATAATAATCATTTACAACAGATAAATACATAAGCCTATTATTGTATCTATTTTGTTTATATTGAACAGCCAATACAGAGACTGTACACAGCTGCTTTTGTTATTTAGTTAATATTTTTTGATGGGACAGAGTCCTGAGACATGAAGCTCATAAAGAGAGACATTTTCTGCACCAGATTACAGTATTATTGTGAACACAGTACTTGTAGCTGACTGTGTGTGTGTGTGTGTGTGTGTGTGTGTGTGTGTGTGTGTGTGTGTGTGTGTGTGTGTGTGTGTGTGTGTGTGTGTGTGTGTGTGTGTGTGTGTGTGTGTGTGTGTGTGTGTGTGTGTGTGTGTGTGCAGGACTGAGCTGGTGTTCTCGGTGACTCGGGAGCTGCTGTCGGTCCCTTCTGCTTCTCTCTCTCCTCCGTTGTTCACGCCTCCAAACCTCCTGTCGCTTTTCTCTCGTTACGTCGACCGACAGCGACTGGAGTTGTTACAGGACAAGCTACAGTAAGTGTGTCGCTGTGGGCCGTGTTCTGTATTAAAGGGGACGTAGTATGAGCTTTGAGTTTTCTTTCCCTCCTTGCCTTGAGGGGTGGAGCAATAACCAGTACAGACGTTGGTCATTATAGATGTGCTGCTATTGGCTTTGTCTAGTCCAGACTTGGGCAACACAACACAATTAACGTTTCCATGTGACTCAGACCTGTTTGTTTTTAATTTAAATGAATAAGAATCACCGCCCAATGAAGGTTTGCAACATTAGGAGGGCTTGGATGGCATGTTATACCTCATAATAATTAATCAATAACATTAATTGGGCCGCAATACTTAGCCTTTAGCTTTAGTTCAATCCATATTTAATCAAATAATAATTTCCTCAAAGTACCTTTCTTTTACCTGGATTTGAACATTGTCAGAGAAGAAGCCTGTCTCACATTTTCAGGAAGACATTTTCAGATTTTAGCTGCATAAATCTGTAATGCTGCCTCCCCATGTTTAGTCCTGAGTCTGGGACCAGCAGGAGGCCAGTCCCTGTGCTCCTCAGAGTCCCAGCAGGAGGCCAGTCCCTGTGCTCCTCAGAGTCCCAGCAGGAGGCCAGTCCCTGTGCTCCTCAGAGTCTCAGTTGGTTCATATGGCTCTAGTCAAAGTAGATTTTATAGATTATGTAAAATAATAATAATACTTTATAGATGTTGTTTTAGCTTCCACAAACTTGAATCAATGTTTTTTGTTTTGTTTGTTCCCAGGATCTCTGCTTTGTCGAGGTAGAAGTGACTGTGGCCGTGACGGCGGAGGTGTCTTCGGTGCGAATGGCGTCTGAGTCTGTCATTTTTAAACAGAGTCTGAGACATGTATCTGTGTTTAGTGTCTGAATGTGAGGAAACTGAGCGTGTGAATGACAAATGACAATGAAACGTTTTTAAATATCTTGTTTACGATTATGCCTGTGACGAACCATAAAATTAAAAAGTATTTCTATTATTATGAAATGCACAGTTTCATTATTTTGAATGTGTACATACGTTGTTAGCGTCAATAAAGCTTTTTAAAACAAACGCAGGACATTGCAATGCTTCTAATGGGTTTTATATTTAGTTATTTATGTTCGGTGAATATTTAAGGGTTAGTAATGCAACACAACCCATCAGAACACTACAAAATACCACCTGTTTCACCTTTCCTTTATTTTGTTCTTCAATATTTATTTCATGTTTTGTAAAGAGTCTTTATTATTATTAGAAATGGCAGGGAATGATTGGCCTGGACTTTAGAGATTTTTCAGAAAGAACTCAAGGTCTACAGCACTAATTCAACATGACAATAACAGAAACTGGTACAAACGATATCAATATATTATAGATATTTGTCGAATTGCTGAAGGCCAATTTTAGAGGTTACACTGTGACCGTAAAAGTCAGATCTTTAGGTTTGGTTTTGTGCAGCCATAGTTCACATGTGTTTCAATCATAATCATACAGTACATGCCGAAAAACCACTTGTCTCATTGCTTCTCAAAGTTTAGTCACACAGTTGGGAAACATGCCACATTTCTCTCATGTAAGACCAAGGATTTATAAAAATGTATATTATTAATCAAGGTTTTATATTGCCTGTTTTTAGACACTAAGACGCTTCACATGAAAAAAATAAACATGGCATCATTTTATGGTGTGTAATATAATGTGTGAGATATATTTCGAGCTGAAGTCAGAATGCGAGACCAAAAACATTTTCTTCCACTTTATCCGTTACTGGTGTCATGGGGGCAGCAGTATAAGCAGAGACGGACTTACCTTCCCACACACACTCATCGTTCCCAGGCCAGCTGAGTGACACAGCCCCTCCAGCACGTCTTGGGTCTTCCCCATGACGTCCAGGAGCCACCTCAACAGGCATGTGGAGGAGCAGCGTCTCTTCTCCGAGCTCCTCTCGTTACTCATTTGGACCGCTTATATCTGCGATCTTCTTTCAGTCAGTACCCAAAGCTTAAAAATGTAGATTGACTCGTAAATTGACAAAACATTTTCTACAGCTTGTTCTGTTTTGAGCTAAACCCAGCAGGTGGATTGCATCAGTAACCAGGAAGCTCATGAGCTACATGTGTCAGTTGTTGTTGTGATTCTAATTGTTATGCACATTACATTTCAATTGCTAAGAATGCACATTACATCAGACAAAATCCAACAATGACTTTCTTCTATTTAATATTTTAACCCACAGAGCGAATGACTTTCTGTGCTCTAGTGCAAGAATACTGAGTTTATTTTATTTATTTTATTTATCTAAAGATAATGAAAATGAAATAAGATGCCCGGGATTGAGGTCTGGGATCGTGTCACAGCAGAAAACATTTTATTATCGGTAAAGAGACACAGCCAGAGTTTTGCAGCATGAGATTTTTAACCAAACAAACCAAGGTCCTTTTCTCACAATATTATACTTATTATTATTCTTATCTTGATATTATTCTTATTTTCAGATTGTTGCTTTAATGTAATTAGGCCGAGCCAATACTTTGTATTGGGGAGGCCTATTGTTATTCACCGGTTTCATATTATTAGGCCGAGCCAATACGAAGTATTGGGGAGGCCTATTGTTATTCACCGGTTTCATATTATTAGGCCGAGCCAATACGAAGTATTGGGGAGGCCTATTGTTATTCACCGGTTTCATATTATTAGGCCGAGCCAATACGAAGTATTGGGGAGGCCTATTGTTATTCACCGGTTTCATATTATTATTATTAGGCCGAGCCAATACGAAGTATTGGGGAGGCCTATTGTTATTCACCGGTTTCATATTATTAGGCCGAGCCAATACTTTGTATTGGGGAGGCCTATTGTTATTCACCGGTTTCATATTATTAGGCCGAGCCAATACGAAGTATTGGGGAGGCCTATTGTTATTCACCGGTTTCATATTATTATTTTTTTTTTTTTCCGCAACTTCAATTCGATTTTTGACCCTGAAGACATGCACGAAAGTCTGCACATGGGGGGTCTAAAACGACCGGTTCGGCGAAAAATTTGATAAAATGAACGTTTCCAGATTGTCCGACGCTCGCCGACTCTATAACGCCCCCTAGAAATTTCATTTTTTTGGACCCTCTGGGGATTTTTTTTCAAATTTTTGAGTAGGTACACGAAATTCGGATGAGTGATAGATCTCTATGAGACGAGCATAAAAGCCGGTCTAAGCACATGTCTGGGACCAACAGGAAGTCGGCCATGATGGGCCGAAGTTTCGCCACTAATTTGACTTTTCATTTAGAAATTCGAACTAGTCCCTGGTTTTTCATCACACAGACTTCTACCACGTCATTTCCCAATCTGGACGGATTGAAGTTATATAATCATCGAAAAAAAGTTAGAAAATCTTCACCGTTTTTGTCCCTCGCCATGGCGAATAAGGCCTTCGTTTTGGCCATTTTCGCTGAGCCCTGAGGGCCACAGGCTCAGACCTACAGAGCTGAGACTCACATCAGTAATATTAGGTTATGGCCTGAACGCAATGACACTAAAATCATTCGCCCAATTTGAGCTCTTTAGCGCCACCTGTCGGAAAGTAATAGGGCACTAGTGCTCGGATCGGCCCGAAAATCGCTGAGTGTATTCTCTGGGCCGAGACGAGCAAAACATTACATTACGCAAAAGTTGTACGTCCCACACCTGACCACTGGGGGCGCCGTAAAGTGAATAAATGAGCTTTTTGGGGCAAAATCTTTGTCCGATGAGGCTAAAAATGAATTCAGAAATACAGCGTATGACCCTGAACACAACGATATGCAACACACAACTGTGAGTGCAACAGCGCCACCTACAGGCAGTTCAATGTGTCTCATTTTTGGCTTCGTACTAGTCCCTGGATTTTCATCGCACAGACTTCTACCATGTCATTTCTCCATCTGGACGGATTGAAGTCATGCAATCATCGCATAAAAGTTAGAATTTTGTTATCGTTTTCATGCGAGGTAGCGGGGAATTTCTCCATGTTTGATGCTCTCCTGACCACAGGCTCAGACCTACAGAGCTGAAACTCACATCGCTAACAGTTGGTAATGGCCTGAGAGTAATGGTGTGAAAACACACACCTAATATGACTCTACAGCGCCACCTATGGAAGGCTTCTGACCTAAACTTTTCCGATCTTCACCAAAGTTGCAAAATCAAATCTTTACATCTGCACGAGCAAAATACTACTCTACGTAGAGGGTGCATGTCCCGGAGGTGACCACTAGGGACGCACTTTATCATATAAATGAGCTTTTATATACGTAATCCTGGTCAGATCGGGCTGCCAATTCGTCGGCGTGACGCTTGTGGGACCGGCGCCCAGGAGGCGGTCGCAAGAGGGGCGAGGCCTTTCATCGCCGCTTGCGGCTTTAATTATTATTCTTTTTCTTATTTTTTTTCCGCAACTTCAATTCGATTTTTGACCCTGAGGACATGCACGAAAGTCTGCACATGGGGGGTCTAAAACGACCGGTTCGGCGAAAAATTTGATAAAATGAACGTTTCCAGATTGTCCGACGCTCGCCGACTCTATAACGCCCCCTAGAAATTTCATTTTTTTTGACCCTCTGGGGATTTTTTTTCAAATTTTTGAGTAGGTACACGAAATTCGGATGAGTGATAGATCTCTATGAGACGAGCATAAAAGCCGTTCTAAGCACATGTCTGGGACCAACAGGAAGTCGGCCATGATGGGCGGAAGTTTCGCCGCTAATTTGACTTTTCATTTATAAATTCGAACTAGTCCCTGGTTTTTCATCACACAGAGTTCTACCACGTTATTTCCTAATCTGGATGGATTGAAGTTATATAATCATCAACAAAAAGTTAGAAAATCTTCACCGTTTTCGTCCCTCGCCATGGCGAATAAGGCCTTCGTTTTGGCCATTTTCGCTGAGCCCTGAGGCCCACAGGCTCAGACCTACAGAGCTGAGACTCACATCATTAATATTAGGTTATGGCCTGAACGCAATGACACTAAAATCATTCGCCCAATATGAGCTCTTTAGCGCCACCTGTCGGAAAGTAATAGGGCACTAGTGCTCGGATCAGCCCGAAAATCGCTGAGTGTATTCTCTGGACCGAGACGAGCAAAACATTACATTACGCAAAAGTTGTAAGTCCTACACCTGACCACTGGGGGCGCCGTAAAGTAAAGGAATGAGCTTTTTGGGGCAAAATGTTTGTCCGATGAGGCTAAAAATGAATTCAGAAATACAGCGTATGACCCTGAACACAACGATATACAACACACAACTGTGAGTGCAACAGCGCCACCTACAGGCAGTTCAAGGTGTCGCATTTTTGGCTTCGTACTAGTCCCTGGATTTTCATCGCACAGAGTTTTACCACGTCATTTCTCCATCTGGACGGATTGAAGTTATGCAATCATCGCATAAAAGTTAGAATTTTGTTATCGTTTTCATGCGAGGTAGTGGGGAATTTCTCCATGTTTGATGCTCTCCTGACCACAGGCTCAGACCTACAGAGCTGAAACTCACATCGCTAACAGTTGGTAATGACCTGAGAGTAATGGTGTGAAAACACACACCTAATATGACTCTACAGCGCCACCTATGGAAGGCTTCTGACCTAAACTTTTCCGATCTTCACCAAAGTTGCAAAATCAGATTTTTACATCTGTACGAGCAAAATACTACTCTACGTAGAGGGTGCATGTCCCGGAGGTGACCACTAGGGACGCACTTTATCATATAAATGAGCTTTTATATTCGTAATCCTGGTCAGATCGGGCTG